CGAGCCTATCCCGAATCATAGCATCTAGAGAATCTTGGAAATCGCAATGTTCTCCTATCACACGGAGCTCTGCCACATAGGTTGCCACTGTCTCGTCTTGTTTCCTAACTCTCGTGTGGAACTTGAAGCGCTGAACTATAGGAGATGGCTTAGGATCGAAATGCTTCTGCAGAACGTCCTTCATCTTATCCAAGGTGACGGTAGAGTCCTGAGGTGTCTTTGGTTGTAGTAGGCTCTTCAGTAGCCCGTACGTCCTAGGTCCTATCACAGTAATAAAGACTGCTTTCTGAGATTCTGCTGCTGTAATCTTGTTAGCCTTGAAGTAGAAGTCAAGTCTCTCGGAGTAAGAAGTCCAAGATTCCTTGGAACCATCGAATGCCGACATCTTGCCGTGCGTAGCCATAGTGTAAGTAGTGAGAAGTAGGAAGAAACAGCAAAGTAGTCCAGTTACCCTCGTCGCCAGTGTAGTGACCGAATGGAGAGAGCTTGACCTTCGTATTTTGTAAATATTGATTATTGTAAAAAGGCTAAAATCTCTTCTGACAAAAATGAAAAGAGCATACACTTATATACAAACAGTATTACATCAGATTACATCACAATGACAAAACATTACACAACAATCAGAATCAGTATACATGAACTAATAAGCATAGTAAATCATAAGCATCAGCTAGAAGGAAAAGAAATAAGATCGTACAGCAATGCAATAATAATAATAATTAATAATAGTAATAATAATAATTGTAATAACAATAGTAGTAATAATAATCATAATAACAATAATAATAATACTAGAAATAACTGTAATCAAAATGCCTTAGAAAATAATAATAGGAATCAATACCAAAATAATATATCAATATATAACACCTAATACTAGTTATACTATTGGAGTGAGAGCATATACTAGTATTGGACCAGGAGAATGGACTGATAGAGAATATAGTACTATTCAAATACGTAAGCAATTAAATAACATATAGTAAGCAATTGCGTAAAGAATAGTAAATTAATATAACTTTGTATTTGGTATTTTCTATTTTAGCTGTCATTCAAGCCTTTTCTATCACAAAGCTCAATTCTACAGCAGTGAGGGCTGAGTGGGGTTTTGTTTATAGAGCTAGTTATTATACTGTCTATTATGAGTCAACCAGTAGCTCCTCAAGAAAGAAGAGACAAGTAGAGACAGGAATGAGAGTATTCCCAGGTGATACTACTGAAGGTCTAATAGGAGGATTAGATCCTAATCTGAACTACTTGTTCTCTATATCTACATCATTTAATGTTAATGGAATTATTTATGAAGGAGAGAGGACTCAACCAATACCACCAGGTAATACTATAATGAATCCCTCAATGAATAATACTCATTTCATGTATTTAGGTGCTACTCTAACTCCTACTATTGTATCAAGCACTTCATCAGTCATTAGTGTTACAGGATTATCAACAAGTAAGACGGTACATATACTAATAGATGTATTATAATCAGTTTACTCTAAAGCAATGTCATCAATAGTGTCATTAAACATGAGTAAACATATCTATTGATGCATGTTTATGTTCATAGTTTCTTATTCTGCTGAAACAACTACCATGACTACTCCATTGACTACTGTATTAGTGAATAATGGAAATACTGGAGTGATAGTTGGCCTAAGTGTAGCTCTTATTGCATTTTTAGTATTGGCTATATCTATAATTATTATACTGGTACTGGTAATGCACATAAAAAGAAGTAATTTTAATCAAAAAAGGTAAATGTGTACACATTCATTACTGAATTAATTTTAAAATTAATAGAAAATCAGATAATGACATTGTAATGGAGTGCAGTCCAGCTTATGCTACAACTGAATTTAAAACAAAGTTAGTTACACTATTGACTAGTACATTATGTCTATACACACACACACACACAGTACTGCTGATGATATACTAATGAAAGATAGTCCAGCATACAGTACAGTGCAACAAACACAGTCAGTTATATAAAATACAATTATTATTATTATTTAAAGTTATTATTAATAGATCAACTGTTGAGCCAGTGTATGATACAACTAATAATGAATACGAGATTCCTCTTCCACCACCTGCTGAATATGAAATACCAACTGTTTAATAATGTACTCATTTTTTATGTACATACATTACTATATAACATAATTCACATAATGTATTTGATGTACATGTAGCATAATGTTACTGGTGGATAATACAAAATGTGTTTGTGTTACAATTAGAAATGTTTACTAATTTTAGTTAGTAAACATTATTCTATGGGTAGATTATTTTTTTCAATTTTAGTTATATTTTTGATAAGATGCCCCAATCACAATGTCTGCCGGAATTATGGATATCTATTAAATACAACGTATATCTACTAGCACTTTCAAATGTGATACTAGATTAATGCAGTGCAGTGCTATATACATGCAAAGTATTTATATAAAATTTCAAAACCACTCCTCTACACTTTGTTTACACTACAATCGAGTGTTTTGGAGGAGTAGTTCTATTTTTAGTGTTTGGGAGGAGTTAATTTTTATTACTGAGGGAACAAGATGACACTGTCAACTATTTTTTGTAGTTCTTGTCTTATTTTACTCATACTACTACTAGTTCAACTGATGACTGTATCTGGACAAGCACCACCATCTTTTCTTTGGGTACAATGCAGTTTACCGGTGGCA